GTGTGACTGATTCCATATTATCTTGCAGTTAATCGAAATGTTTGCATTGCAGGAGTTTTTAAAGTAAACTGTTTTACAAACCTGATCAGAATATATTTTCTTATTTCTCATTTGTATTATAATTTTTGAAAAAAAAATCTCCATATAGGTAACTCTTGCGTGTTTGGTTGACATGTTTTTTAAAGAGCGTGAGATTTAGTGACACATTTTATTTGTAAAACATCTACATGTGTTTCTTTTAATAAATATGAATAACTATTTGGAATAGCGTGGCCATCCACCAACAACATTATTAGGGAGCGGGAGCATTGGGCAGTGGTGTCGCATTGCTAGCGCTGTATCTACGGGGAGCTGGCGTTAGCTTGTGGTGGGTATAGATAGACATAATACCTAGCTACCTGACTATGAAACTAATCGGTGCAATACTAATGCATGTGATCCTCGTACTGAGATGTTACTAACTGATTTTTTAGGCAAACCCGGCATACACATTGCAGGGCACGTAGAATCTAGGAGGGAGGGGTGGGGGCAGTTGCGTCCCTATAGTTTAACAAAAACGAAGAAATATGCCTTATTGATACCCCTAAGTTTACTGTGATAAATAATAGGACAAATTGTTACTTTTGCTTAATATTATCCTGCATATACAGCTATTTCTTGGAAAGGTAAAAGAAGTACTTCCTTTTTATCACTCGGGTCATATTTTCAAGAATATTGTAAATTTTTCCTTTTAAGGAAATTTGACAAAGCCCTACATTGTGTATTCATGACATAATATCATCAAGAGCTAATAATACCTCTATAATACCTCTATAAGAGCTACAATAGGTATTATTAGCTCTTGATATCATGCATGTCTTGTTCTCCAGATTTCGTGTATGGAAGAGGGGTATAATCATATTCACTATGATTATTATTATTCAATATCATATTCACTAATGCGATTGCAAATGTGATGGAGATGCCCATGCCTTGTTGATAACCTGCATGATCATAAGCAATTGATATTTTGTTCATACCCATTTCGCAGTGTAACCGGCGTGGATTAGTAACTCTCTCTCTAGCGTGTGTTCGATTTCGTCGGCAGCACAATGTGAAAGGTAAAAACTACATGGTGGAAACGTTTCCATTCGTTCGGGTGATGTCGATGAAGTGTGAGATTTGGTACAAGATGCCAAAGAATGCAACCTCGCTGGATAGAGCGACACTCAGTCTCAACATGTGCAAGAACTGCACACAGGTAAACCATGCCATTTCTTGTTGCCATGATAGGATTCTAATGTAATAGTTATCACATGATTATGGAGTATATTAAAAGTAGCCTTATAAATGTAGATAACCCTAAAATAATTAATATAACAAAATTAACCCTTTCACTTAATCTAATAATGTGCAGTCTTAAACTGTAAAAACAACAATCCCTCGCAACTACTACATTAGGTATCCACCTAGGCAACTGAACATCCATCAGTCTGGTTATATTTATAAATGTGATAATAAGTTTAATTGCTATAATAATAGCAAAAAACAACTGCAAAACTCATATTCAAAGACATTGACTGCCTCCAACAGACTTTGACTGCCGCACGTACATTGCAGCTCTACCACTCCCCCAACGCGAAGCAGAAGAGGGGCGCCGGTCTAGCCGAGCCGCGGCGGGCGCGGGCGCGGACGAGCCGACCCCGGGACGACGTCTCGCTGACGCGCGACGAGCTCACGGTGAGATTCAGATACGACGCCCTCTTGCGGCAGCTGCGCGCCGAGCAGCTCAAGTTTGCGACGATCAGCAAGCTGCTGAACAGCGGCGGGCCAGAGGGCAGCACCGTAGTGTTTATCAACGACGACGGCGACGTCGCCGAGACGATCGTGCTCGACGAGGGCGCCACCGCAGAGAATTTTGACGGCGACGGTGGCGCCCTCGCTGACAGTGGCGCCCTCGCTGACTCATGCCCTCGTCAAATGAGAAACTTGCCTATATTGCCTTTTGAAAGGCTTATTAGCTTTTGTGTTTTTCTATATTTTGTCCACTATATTGGAAATACGTGAATATTGCTTGCACGATGCCATGTTTATGTTATGCCT